TTGGAGTTATGTAAAAGAAATAGTAGAATTCATTGCCCTTTTAGTAATGTAGTGTGTAGTGAATGTATAGATTGCTTTAATAATAAATCAATCTAAGATAAGCTGGTTATTGGAAAGCAAGAAAAACCATTAAAGATTTGGAAAATTCTATTTGCTACTAACTAATTTATTATTATTTTAGAGAACTTTCAAGTTATGTTATAGTTTATGCATTAGACTATGAGATATTTTGGTTTATTTTGTTTTGATTATTAGCTGATTATTTGAATAAAAGACTATAAATTATATGCGATTTCGATGTTATTTATGTCATTGCTTGGCTCATTTAAAAATAATTTAAATTAAATTAAAATAAGAAAAAAGTATTTAGATCTAAAAAAGAAATTTAATTTATTATCACAATAAGAATTTGCATTTATAGCAAAAATTGCATCGGTACATTTGAACTTAAAACACAAAGTTTCATGGAAAAATTTGTAGAGGAAAGTAGTATTAATTAAAAACGTTTCTAATGTTCATATTAATTAGAAATATGTATAACAAAAAAAGGATTTAATGATTGTTAAGCGCAAATTTTATCTTAGATTACTCACAATATTAGGTTCTATCTAAAAAGAATTAACTAAGTTGGAAATACATATAGGCTTCTGATAAAAATAGGGTAACTAAATAATATATTTGTAAAACAATAAGATATGCGAGAATTAAAATTCTATCACATAATATCGAAAACTAATTTATTCTTAATTTTAAAACTCATGTTTTATTCATTTTTTCAGAAATTTTTGAGATTTATTGATTGCCCAGACTTGGAATCATCCTAAAATGTAGGTTTGCATTCATCATTGAATATTATATTTTGCCATTCTTAGAATTCAGGTTACAAAATTTATCAATCACAGTAGCTTCTATAATAGTTTTGTCAAGGTTGAAGAAATCTTATAGTCTTTTGGCTGTAATCAATTTAATTTATGAAGAACTTTTTAACAAAATTGAAGATGCTTTTTTAATTAGAAAACCGATTACTATTATAGACTTTAAGAAATTATTTCCAAAACAATTACAATAAGCACTATCAATTGAAAAATAATGATTAATATCAAATAAAAATTTAATCTAAAAATATATATTATACAAATTTTTTAAATTTCATGTAAATTGAATACAATTCACAGAAAATTGTAAATGAAAACAAAGAATATTCAGATTCAATGAAAATTTCATATAACTTACAATAAGAATTGACAATTCATTAAATTGAAAATTGTTATTCAATAGATTTTAGTAAAGACTGCAAATCGATAGCTGTGGGAGATGATTAATTAATAAAAATTTATACTATCTCCTAGCATAACATTAAATTAATAAACAAAGTATTTGGTCATAGAAATGAAGTTTCTATGTTGAGATTTATGTTGAAATCTAATCATTTGGTTTCGACAAGCTTAGATGGTTCAATTTCTCTATGGTCCCAGTGCCTATTAGCTAAACCTTTAAAGACTTACAAATTATTAAATCATTCTAAGGGTATTTTATGTTACACAATAAATTCTGAAGAAAATCTTATAATTACTGGCAGCTATGATAGTACAATGAATGTTTGGGTGAAAAAAGAGTGTTAATGGTTTTGCTCTTAAAAATTTACTGAACATACTAGTGCTGTATACGGAATTAGCATTAATGAAAATTAAAATTAGGTGATCTCTTGCGGACATGATAGTTAAATTTTAATATTCTCCATGAATAATTTTGGAGATCCATAATTATTTACAAAAACACAAACAATAATTGTAGATACATATGGATTTAGATTATGTTTTATTAATAATAATATGTTTGTTTTTCAACCTTCTAAAGGTGAAAAATTATGGATTTATGAATTAGATGACAATGATGGAAAATTTAGAAACACTAATTAGATAGCCATGTCAAATGGTATATATTGCTATGAATTTTTTCCCCAATAGTATATAAGGGAAAAATAGTTGCTAATTAATAAGAATGGTTACAGTGTAAATATATTGAAAAATAAATAAAAACAAGGTTTTGTTGTTGAATAATCAATCAATTTTGATCATTATTTTGTTTTTGGATCACTAAGTCATAATGGTGATTATCTAGCTACCTGGGATTGGAAATCAAAATAAATACAGATAAGAAAATATTAAGAAAATTGAATATTATTTTTAAATTAAAGTATATTTTTAATTCCTTTTAATTCTTGAGGCTTAAAGGGTTAAATCATTTTGATAATATCATTTGAATTTGCATATAGAATAAATTGATTGCACGCATTTATAGCTTCTTAAAATTTTAAATATTAAGGAATCGAAGTATAATTATAATTATAATTTATTAATATAATATTAAAATTCTAAAGAACTTGCATCATGTAGTAGCAATATTATTAGGATTTAAGTCATTTATTTATGTGCATTTATAAATTAATTACAACTCTTAATGGAATTAATGATTGAAAATTTAAAAAAATGTGCTATTATTATTAATACATCATATTTCAAATTTTTCAAAAATTTTCCTTAATTATGAATAATTTTAATATCAAGAAACAGCTAGCTAAGATGGTGTATAAATGATTATGGAGCATCATAAAAAAGAATCCTTGTTGTTAATAAATAAATTTCAGGATGAAATAAATATGGCTATTAAAACTATATTAATAGGATTCATTATTTTTTGGTTGGTTAACTCTTTTAAGAATTTGTAATGGCAGTCTATACCACATCTTATGGTTTCTTTTCTTCTTGCTCCTAAGTTTTTTTTCCTTAAGAACTTATTCTATTTAAGCCATTCATACCGGTAACCATTCTTTCACAATTCATTTAATAAATTAAAAAATTAATAATATAGAATTCATCTCGTAAAACTCAAATTGAATTGATTTTGAGAAGGTATTTAATCAAAAATGTGAACAATCATGTAATATTCATTCTATCAAATTTATATAAGATGGACTTCTTAATATTTTTTCAAATATTTAGCTATTAGAGTTAGTAGAGATACCAATCATTAAATAGACATCACCATCTGAAAAATATAAACTAAAACTAAGTTATATTAATTTTGATCAGCATATGAAGGGATAAAATAAAGATAGAACTAACAAATTTGAATAATCAATATATAATTGTTGATATGATAATAATGATATTTTGGGAATAAATGAAACTTAACATTTCCTCAATTGTTTAACTAAAGAAATTCATAAATTTAGTTACGTTTTCAAAAGTAAATACATTGGAGCAGCTTCAATTTCCATTAAAGTTTTTTGCAGTGTTTATTAGCATTTTTCCTTATCTTCTCATAATTAAGTTTTCATAAATACTTAAAACTTATATAATCTTAATCATTGATTAGAAACAAATACAAACGTACTTTTTTGCCTTGAATGCAACGATTTAAAGTTTTTCCAATTAGACTTTATATCTTGAATTTCAAAGAAGAAAGAAATTATTATAGATATCAACCCAGAACTATCATTTTCTTTCTTTACTTTAACTTTTTCATTAAGAATTACTATATTTTGATATTGAAGTGAAAATCTGGTTTTTTAAATTTGAATCTGATTCCTTACATTTAAGAATAATATCTTAAAGAAAGTAGAACTTATAATTAGAAAGTATCTAAAGGTATATCATCTTCCAAGTAAGTAATTATAAATGAAATCTGATTTATTCTAAGTTTCAAGAATTAAATAATGATAGAAGTCACACTATAAAATTACAATTAAAAGTCTTCAGTAAACAAATATTTACTTTTGAATACCAAAATTTTATTAAAGTAATTGAGTTTATCCCTTTGAAGAAAATTAATCTAAGAGTCTAATTCTAAATCTCCATTTCATTCTTATTCTTTTTCTATTGTTTATAGAATACTGGATCTGCCTCTACCATTTAGGGATAACTATCTAGATATCAAGAAGGTGTTTTTCTTAATTTTCAATGAATTTAAGATTTCTGCCATTTAAACTTCCTAATTTTCGCAATGGATTTCTTATTAAGGATAATTAAGCTTGAATAGAATATTCTTCAATTTATTTGTGCAAAAAGTATTGACCTTTAAGAATTATAAGTATATATAGTGAAATAGGATATATCCTAATTACAGAAGCTAGTCACAAAAGATCTTAAAATATTTAATCACATTTAATTGTGGAGCAAATAAATATCCCATTTTTAACCCCGCAAATTAATATTTAATTTTTAATATTCTAAACCAAAACTTGAAATTACTAATTATATTAATCCCTGTAATAAGAAATGGTTACAAACAAGTTTTCAGAAGGATAAGTTCCTATTAGCATTATTGGAAATTTTTTATATTTCATAATCCATCCATTATTTTACTTTCTTCTAAATCATATGCATAAGAGTAGAATTTGGGATGATATGATTCTTTTTTAAATGTTGTAATTTTAATTTTAGTAATAAGGTTCAGCGATATGATTAGAAAATTAAAATTATAGTCAAAATTCTTTTTTTAATCTTGTTATTTTATTAAATCAATACATGTTATTTTTTCCTAAATTTTAAATCAGAAATCTATTCCATACATTTAATCTAAAGAAAGCTTTCTAGATCAAAATTGATGACTATATTTTTCATTCGATTCTATCTAAGATTATTAATTTAAAAACACAAATTTCGAAATAGAATCACCTGCTTATATATAGTTTAGAATTATTGTAGAATAATTCATATCCAAAAAAGCTAATTGTTATTTTGAGTACTTTGGTCCATTCAAATTTCTTCCACTCTATATCAAACCAAATTGAGGGTAGCATTTCGATTAAATATTAATTTATAATTTCTAATAATAGCAATATATAATAATTCGTAAACTTATAGATATATGAATAAATTTCTTGTTGTATAAAATATTACAACTTCTAATTAAAATTCAAGAAAAAGTAAATTTGTCTCTTGAAGTTGATATCTCTAATTCAGTGAAACATCTATACATCGTTTGATTTGAAGTAGTTATTAAGTTTATTCTAATTTTTAGTTGCTATATTGATTTATGTTTCTGATGAACCAATTTAAACAAAGCATATTAAGATTTGTCCTTTTCCATTATTTTTAACCCGAAGTTTTTATAAATCTTTATTGTATTTCAAATTTATTCATACCGAAATAGTTTGAAGTCTAATACATATTTATTACAAATAATTAAATACCACAAACTCTGTAACTATTTGAATAGTAAATTAAGGCAATTTAAGCCTCTATATAAGTGATATTATTATTTTTCATCTTTAATAATATAATCATATTGCTTTAATGCTCAAATCTATATTTGAAATTTTGTCACTTCTGTTATACATACAGTAATCCATTGCATTATTATATAGAAATACTAATAGCTAATGCACATTTATGCCATACGGTCCTTTATTATATCCGACAAATCCATAAATTTAACTTGACTTAAATGTACCAGAAGATGTCGTATAATATTAAGAAAATATTGGCTATGGTGTTTGGACAAAATATCAACCTTTTGGTCTGATGTCAGACTTGAGTATTATTACCCTTTAGTATTTTAGGAAATAGGGAATGGTAACTAGATGGATCTATAAATAGATTAAATACGATCTAAGGAGGATAGTTTATATATTCAATGAAACAAAAGGAGAACAATACTAAATTTTGGTTGTTTCATTATTAGTTGACTAGATTGATTAAAGATTTCAACACAGTATCTACTATTCATTTGCTAAATCATCTGGTTTAATATAATTCAATACATATACAATAATTGAAGGTATATGGATTTTGTGTTATGCATATTTTGATTTTCTTACAAAAATAACAACAATTGGAATCTATAACAATCATGAACCATTAAAAACATATTAAATTTTGGATACACCGTCATTCGTGAGCCAAATTAGACATAATGTTGGTGGAATATATTCATACAAAAACAAAAATGGAGATCGAGTGTAACTAACTTAGTTTATTGGGTCTATGTCAAATTTATTTACATCAAATAATTAGAACATTCTTTTAGATTTAGAATAGTGCGTTAATTAATTTATTAAATATGATATTTGCTATAGTAAAGAATATAATATGAGCCAGAAAATTTAGTATATGAGTGGATTCGATCTTATTCAGATGTAAACATCAGTACTCAACATACCTATCTACTAGATCCAAGGATGGATAAAACTAGACGTGCCAAATTTACCTTTCCTAGAAACAACAATTTTTAGAATAACTATTAATTACAATTATAGTGATGATTCTTATATCGGTGATAGAGAAGTTTTATTGAAATACTTTCAGAGTAGTGTTCCAGGGGAAAATGGTTTTAAAATTTCCACTTACAGTTACGCATTTCCAGTAAAATCGAGATATAAGACTTAAGAGGATGATAAAATTTCTGAATATGGCGACCAGTATTCTTCCATGTTTATTACTTGGCATTATTTTTCATTTGAAATAGGAACATTGAATAATGATGGCTAACCATAATTTACTTTATATTTTCCTTCTGAAAATTAATACTATAAATACATTTGGGATAAAATTATAAAGCACTTTTCTGGAGCTACATACTACATATTTATTGGAGGGGATAATTATGTGAAATCATATCTTAGAGGATATGTCAGTGATATTAAGTTTTATTTATATTGCTAGCCTGAAGTTCCTGTGGTTGTAGTTAGTTGTGATTATTCATGTTTAGATTGTGATGGTCCAACACCTTTAAACTGTCTCAGTTGTCACGAAAATAGTCATAGACAATTTTCTAGAACTGGAAAAACTTGTAATTGTTAGGAAGGATTTGTGGATGTAAAAGACCAAGAAGAATGTGTATCAGTAGCTGAAGCATTTTCATATCTTACAAAATAAGAGATTGAATTAAATTGCAATTTAGAAGGCTACAGTAGATGCGATGGATCAAATGTTGAGTGTAGTTTTGGATATTTTCTATTTTAAAACTAATGTGTTAAATGGTAATAATAAGTATATTTATATTAGTCCAGAGTAGAGCTTAACATATGATGATATTTTTCTAAGTTGCTTCGATTGTTATTCGAGTCCAATTACTTTTGGTTAGTCTTTAAAATGTACAATGGATGCAAAAACATTTTATTTTAATTCAAAATACTCCTATGAAATTGTTCAAAGAGATGATAACCTTGTGACTTTTTATGAAATGAAATTGAATCTCAATTAAACATACATAGCTAAATTATGTTGCGGATGCATGACAATAGAATAATGTAAGCCAGGATATTATTTTATGGGAGGTTAATGTTTTCCTTGTATTTAGAATTGTTACTTTTGTTTAAATTCTTATACATGTGAAAGTTGTCAGGAAGGACATTATTTAGGCAGAGAAAATCAATGCATAAAATGTCCTAATTGTAAAAGATGCTTTTTATATGAAGAATTTTTATGGTGCAGTTATTGTGAAGACGATTAAGTATTATAAAATAATGAGTGCGTATAATGTGGATAAAATTGCAATAGTTGTGACTAATAGGGATATTGCAAGTTTTGCAATGGAGATCCTTCCAAATATTATTTAACTATAGATGGAAAAAATTGCAAAGAATGCAATATTGAAAATTGCGTTTATTGTTTTGAATATGTAATTATATCTGGATAATATTCTACAACATTAGAAATGAATTTCAATATATACAATTTTTCTACAAATTAAATTACTACTGCTTGTGCCTTATGCAAACCAAACTATCACTTTAATTAAAATACAAATAAATGTGAGTTAAAGTAAATTGATGATGATTGTGAATTTGCTCTCATCTTAGCTTCAACTTATTAAAAAGTATGTATAATCAGTCTTAAAAATAATGATGCTGTTTAAGTAAACTCTTGTTCATCCCTTAAGTACTGCAAATAATGTATTCATCAATATAGTGCAAATGAATCCTATTGTATTTAATGTGAAGATGGATACTACTCGGGAGTACTGACTGGATAATGTTAATTATGTACTAATAATTGTAAGACTTGTTTACAGCAAAATAGCATTTTCAAGGATTATTGGAAATGGAGTGTAAAAGCATTTTATAAATAACTCATAAATTTTAACAGTGATAATTCCTTTGAAGATTAAGGATAGTCTAGGGCTCAATCTGATCTTGAAATTATTTGCACATCCTGCTAATTATAATACATTCTCTATCAATAGCAATGTATTAAAGGATGTGAACAGAGTTGTATTGAATGCAAAATTCTTGATGGAAAAGCTACATGCATTTAATGTCAAGAAACTGACTAAGGGTTTCTCAAGAGCAGAAATAACAATGGAGAATGTCTTCAGTGTCCTTCATATTGTATTGCTTGTATAGAAAGAAATCAACAGGAAATTTCAGAAATTAACCCATATTATATTTAAAATGATGAAAATGCATAATATTCCAGAAAATGCTATGAAAAATCTAAAAAGTAGGATAATTATTATTATGATTTCTTAACCTAAACAATAACAGTTTGCACAAACAACATACCTTGTTATAATAGATTTATAATTTAATAAAATGTATTTTGTGATTCAAATTAATTTAATTAGTTACTCAATGATAATAAGGATGATTAATTTAAACAAAAGAACATTTTATTGAGTGATTTTTATTATTCTGATTATCTTAATCATTTTGAATCTTAGTTACTCTATAAGTATTTGAATGAAGCTCAAGTCAGGAATATGGAATTTTAATTTACTCTAATATAGGGCACTCAATTAGAATGCATCTTAGAAGAAGACTTAACAATTTATTCACTTTTATAATAAAATATATTCACATTATAGTAAGTTGACATCATTTTTGAAGGCCAAACCAGCCCTACTATTTTAACGATATTTAATGAAATTACCTTAAGTAATTATACTAAGGTTACTTTTAAGAATATAAAATTTAATTTTGATAAAATATTATCTAGTAGGGATTCATTTTTTATAACTTTATTTAATTTGCGATTATAATTGATACTAAGCTTTCAAAATTGTATTTTTACAATGCCATACAATACATATAGAAATTACTCTCTATAAATAAGATCTAACATCCCTTATTCTCTAGAATTATAAAATTTTACAATTACAAACTTTTACGTTTCATAATCTGAAATATTTACTTTTATATCTTTGGAGCAGACTCCTAAAAACTCAGTTTAAATAACCAATTTTTAAATTAAGAATTCCTTCTTTTTCAATTCAACTCTAATTAAATTTCAAGCCAATCATAATAATCTGCCATATGATTCATAATTAAATCTAATTTCAATAACAGATACAATATTTTTTTCTTCCAAGTTTATCACTAGTTAAGGGCTCTTAAATTATACTACTGGATCTTTATTGATAAAATAAATTTAATTTTCAAATGTGCAATTTTACCAAAACTCAGCTTTCCTTCTTTCTTCTAGCTTATCATCTTTGTATATCATTTATCTAACTCTAGACAATACAAAAATTTGTTAAAACTCCAATTTTTTCTCATCTAATATCATAAACCTCAAAGTTGGCACAATTAATAATACTTAAATTAAGAATAGCAGTTTAATAAATAATCTTGTTGAATATTCGAAATCCGAAATAGCTTTGCAATCTAGCTCTATAGGAAAAATCGAAAATTATCATATTTTAAATACTCAATATGATGATAAACAATAAATAATCAAAATTATAAAATATAATGAAATAGTTTAATTACATTTAAGTTTAACTGATTTTTCTTTTATGAATGGTCAACTATCAACTTTAATTTAATAATAAGAGATTTCATATTATTCCTCTATTATATATTTTGAGTGTCAATTATGTTATCTAGGAGGTATAAAATTATAGAGAGGACATGGATTGCCTGAGATGACTTTACTGTATTCAGAAGTTTTAGATATTAAAAATTTTAGCATTAGTTCAAATTAAATATATATAACGAAATCTTTGCATAGTTCCTACGAATGTATAGAGAAATTTGCCTTCAAAAATATGCATTTTTTTTTATATATAGGTTTCTACTCAATTGTTAATATCAATTCCTTAGACGTATCAGATAGCTTAAGCATCAATAGCCCATTTGTTATCCTTTAAGGATATGATTTAATGTAGAGATAATCTTCAGAAGTTATTACAGTTTTCGATGTCATATTCTCTTAAAATTTATTATTGATAACTGATTCAAATAAATAACAGCTTTGCTGTCAATAATTTCTCAATAAAATTGCTCAATAACTCTTTAAAAGTTAAACTATACTGGAAATCATCTTAATGAATATTTTCAGGACTAAACAAGAGTTTCTGCTTCTACAGCATTCATCTAATTATATTAGGGGTATGTCCTTATATCAGATTCACACTTCTTTTAAAATATTGTCACCAATTCAAGCGATTCTATTTTATATATTAAATCTACTTAAGTTGTATTACTTTAATGCAAATTTGCCAATAGCAATAATATAATGTATAATTCATTAAGTCGCCATTTGCTGTATTCTGAATTTTAGGACTTACAATCTCTTAATTTTTTGGGTATTTTCCCAATAAAGTCCTTAAGTGGAAATGGTATGTTCATTACACAATCTTTACTACTTGATAAGATAGTTATAAATCAATCCTATGCTATAGCCGGGGGGGCTTTTCATATAATTACTCAAGGGAAAAGCTAAATCGTAATTGGTAATTCATCTTTTTTAAATACATTTAGCTTATCAGATTCTAATACATTTTCATCTGGCGGATGTTTATTTGTCGATGGTTCTGTATCATAATTAAAGGTTATAATTAAAAACACCAAATTTTAAGAATCGTTCAGTAAATATGATGGAGGAGCTATTTACATCTTACCATCTAAAAGCTATAACTGGATAGAATTGGAAAATCTAATTGTCTTGGATTGTTTCTCTTTGTAAAATTCCTTCTTTTCCTACAACCCCCCAAATATTGAATCACTTTATACCGAAATATTGCTTAAGAATATCAACTTTAAGTCAACTGAACAGGGTTTCAATAAATTTATTCAATCAATGAATAGACTAACTGAGGATGAAGCCTTTTAAGTTAGTTATTCTAACCCATAAATCTTCATTCACTATGGTTTCATTAGTATTATAAATTGTAGCTTCATATCATCTCACTTTCAATATCTGATATAAATCAAATCGGCTTATCATATCAATTTATAAAATATAACAATTCAGAATAGCACATTTTTGTAATCTCCTATGATTGTAATAAACTTAAAAGAATGTAATATTAATTATAAATTTTAGAATTAAGTGGAAAAATATTAATTGAAAATCTTCAGATTTTAAATGTGGTTGAATTTAATAAATCCATAGAAGGAGAATGCTAAGATATAGAATTACCCACAAGCTCTCAATTATAATGCCCTTTATCATTACCTTAAAAACCATGGGCAATTTAATCAATGGATAACATCAAAACAAATCAGAAATTATTAATTTGTAATTTGTTATCTATCTTTAAAAATAAAGCAATTAATTTAAGCTTAATAACTATTAATTCACTAGATTCAAATCATAAACTTATTTTAAAAAATATTAATATTTAGAATGTAAATTGTCAGAATTGTTTATAAGGAGTTTTTCAAATTTTTGATATAAAATAACAAATTCAAGATTAGATAATATTTTCGTAAATAAAATTTAAAAATTGTGTTTGCGGTTACAAAGGATGCTTATCAATCCTATAAAATTCAACAAATTTAAATTTTAATAATGATTTATTTACAAATAATCGCATATTATAACAAAATAACCTTGAATCCATTGAGTTCTAGTTAAATCACTAAGTAATTGTTTAAAATGCGATATTTTTAAATAATTCTGCCCGTTAAGGAGGATCATTATTTATTTAGGAAATCAATATATTGATTAAAAACAGTTTGTTTTGCAATAATTCAGCAGAAATTGGAGGGGCAATATTTTATTTTTCTGAATAGACATCCCTAGACTTATTTAAGACCCAATTTATAAATAATACTGCTTAGATAGCCGGGGCAGTTTACTTTAATAATTAATCTCTACAATTAACAAAAGAATTGGAGATTGAATTTATAGACAACAATTCATCTCAATATGGAGACAATATATTTGAAAAGCCTCGTTCATTATCGATATCAATAGATGGGGGTAAGACAATTTTACATAAGAAGTTAGTGAAGAACACCTCACATGAAATAATCGAATAGATAATAGTTACACCCTATAAGATATTAGGATATTCATCCTCAGTGAATTACCTAACTCTCCCATCAGGAAGAAGTATTTCATCCTATGAGTACTTTGACCAATACACAAGCTCCTTTATTCCTTATAATTTAACTTTTCGGATTATTGCGTTGGATAAATTCAACAATCAAAATAAGGGTCTTTATGATTCAAGTTGCACTCTTAAACCAATAACTTTTAATATAACCTCACAAACTGAAGTTTCAGGAATTACCTTTAGTTTGTCCAAATATCATGTTTTTTTTAATAATTCCACTGGAGATTTTAATTTAGATGATTTAATTATTTATTGGAATCCAAATTATGAAATGGAATTAGTTTTAAGAATTTCAATTCGGTGCAATTAGGTGTCTGTTCCATTTTATGATAAAGATTCGCCTTATCTGATTTAGAGTCAAAATACTAACTATAACCTGCTAGTAGATGTTAGAACATTCTAATGTCAATTAGGAGAGTTTTTAAATTAAACAACAGGCGGCTGTATACTTTGTGATAAATTCCAAAACTAATATTAAGTTGCCAGAAAGGCCTTAAATTGTAGTTTTAAAGACGATATGAAAATCAGACTAATAGAGTCATCAATGATAGAATTGAGACCAACTTATTGGAGAGCATATAATCATAGTTAAAATATAGAATATTGCTACCACATGCCAAAAAATTGCTAAGGAGGATGGATACCAGGTGATAAATCCTGTTAAGTAGGACATATTGGTGCTCTATGTGAATAATGCGATCTTTATGATAGTAGAGGCTAAGGATCATTTTATTTAAGTTCTGCATATTAATGTTTAAATTGTAAAATAACTGTTTACAATATTCTTTCCATAATTTTTGTTATATTTTGGACGTTATTGTCAACCTTAATTTCTGTTTCTAGCACTTCTGAAATGATTTAAGAATTTATAGCAGGGTTAAGATTAAGACTTTTTGGAGTAAAATTTCCAATCAAGCAAATATCATCAGCAATTTTAATAAAAGTCTTTACAAATTACTTATAGATCATATCTACACTTCTTAAATTTTAGCTTTAATTACCTAATGAACTAACATCAATTATTAGTAGTTGTGCCAATCCAATTGAATCAATGGCCTTTTCACTGGATTGCTATTTAGTTTAATTTACTGAAGTTTTGATCATATATATTAGAATTATTTGGAGCATTATTATGGCTCTATCCTACGTAATTCTATTTATAGGACTAGGGGGAATAGCAATTGCAGTTAAGCTTATTAAACATAATTTTTCATTTTATACTATATCAGTTATTTATTTGTTCATCTTTTTTTAGCCAAGTTTAATTGGATAACTTATATCTTTGTTATCATATAGATAAATATCAGATGAATTTTGGATTTCAAGTAATGTGGCTTATAGATATGATACATCCTCTCATCTCAGATGGATTATTGCATTTGATATTCCTTTGCTAACAATTTTATGTATCACAATTCCAACTATTCTTTGGTATGGAGTTTATAAAAATAGACGTACATTAGACAAGACCATTACTCGAAAGACTTGGGGATATTTATACCAAGAGTACACTAAAAATGCCTATTATTAGTGAAACTGTTAAAATAGTTTAAAAAGAGTTGATTATATTGGTTAGAATTTATTACGATGACTTCATAACAATCAAAGCTTCCTTAATTTTTTTAATTCTTTTTTTTTACAGTCACTTTGCCAAATCAATAAATCCATATATGACTAAGTAATTAAATGTCCTAGATTAATAATCAATCATTATATGTGCCATTTCAATTGTCTTAGCATGCTCAATTTATTCAGCTCAATAACAAAATCTATAGGAAATAATCTGGCCTTTTTATGTGATTATTGGATGTCTCAATAGCTTTTATACTATTAAACTAGTTATTTCAATAATATTAGCTTATTTTAAAAGGATCTTTGATAAAATTGACAATCTAAAATAGAGAATATTTGCTATTCTACCACTCAAAATTAGTTCAAATCCAAAAATTTAGAGACTGCTTGAAACTCGATAAACTAAATTGACTAGAATTCAAAGAAGATTTCAAATATTAAAAGAATACTTATTAGCAATATCAAAAGAAAACTTAAAAGTGAGAAAGTAAGAAAAAATTATATAAAATGTAGGTCTAAACAAGAATAATTTCAACAAAGAGATAACAGTCAACAGTTGCATAAAATGATTTTATAGTACTCCTTAAAAGGAAATTCGAAGTATTCTGACCATCATAGAAGATAAAGCCAACTCTAAACATTTCATAATTATTCAAGAATTTCTCTCAAGCATGAAGAAGAACATGACAACTAATTTTGGAGAATGTAGACCTTAAGACAAGAATCTTAGATTCTTTGAAATATTTTAATTTCATAAATTAAAAATAATTATCATTAATTTAGAGAACTTTTTGATCTTTGTCATAAGATTATATTTTTTGGATTTTTTCTTTAAAGCCTCATCAAATTGATTGATACTTTAACTATCATTTATTAAGGTTAGAACAATTACCTTCATCGTCGTTTGGCTAATCAAGTCTCTAAAATCTATTCCATAATGATTCTTCAAATATGTCTAATTTCGATATATTTTAAAAGTTGAATGATGTGAATTTGATTGTTAGTTTTAAAAATTTAATCAAAAAAGAAGGGGGTTGTAATAATAGTTAAACAATTTGGAGGCTTGAATAGTAGTAGAGTTTTATATAAATAAATATTTTATTTGGTAATTAGTGGTCAATACTGTGTCAGTATTAGATTTTTATTCTCTTATAAGATTTAAATAATGATGTTGGTTTAAAAAAGAGATAGTTAAAACGAAGAAAAGTTGGTTTACAGTGGTGAGATAGAATTTTAAAATATTCCATGTTTTTAGGTAGATGATGGCAAAGAAGAATAGTAATTAAATATTAAAAATCAAGCTAATTCTAAGCACTATTTTCATTCTATAGCATAAAATTCACTAATATCAATATTTGGAAAAATTCTAGCAATTTTACCAAAATTTCCGTGGGCTGAATTGTTAAATATTTTATATAAGGGAAAAAGTAGTAAAGTGATTATAATTCTCTCATCTCATCTCATACTAAACAGTTATTCATTGTTATATAAGTTATTGAAAGTTTGAAAAATTTATTGTAGTTAAAAAAATTTAATTTTCAAACAACAATTATATATTGGTAGAGACGAATCTGTTCAAAATTTTTGATTTAATTCTGAAATGATAGCCTCATAAATAGATTTGTTTTTATTAAGCTCAATAACAAAAGGAAAGAATGAAGTTGATTATAAACATATTAGATGTAAAACAATTTGTTATTTCCTAATTACTTATTCATTAAAGATAGCAGTACTCCAAAATTTTATTGTAATAAACCCATTAGAAAATGTAAACAACTGTAAGGATGATTTTATTGCTGTTGTAAAAATATTAATATAATCCATCTATGTCATTTATTAAAATTAAACTTTGAGAGGATGATTGCTATAAAGCTTTGTAAGATAGGATAAGGTGAACTGAAGAGTAGGAGTGTTAGGTACTATAAAAAGGTTTTGGTTAAATAAAATTCTATTAATTTTATAATATATTATATTAACATTTTAAATTTTAAGATGTTTTCATTAGATTTGTTTCCTTTTATTTTTAATATAAATTAGCGTTTATAATTGAATTTAAATCAATGTAATAATTAAAAGAGAAAGAAAAAATTTGAAGCTTTTAATTTATTGATAATCTCAAATTATATGTCAATAAATTTTAGACCTAAGAATAGAAAAAGTAAAATAAATATCTCACAATCATATCAAGATATACTTAAAAATGCAAAAAGTAAGGTTATAAATATATTTACTCTAAATAACATTTATAAAAAATGCTATTAATTATAAAATATTCATAAAATTTTTACTTTCGAAAATTATTTATCATTTATTGTAATTTCATTTTTCATTGTCTCCTTTTCCAAAAATTTCCTACCTTTTATTCAATTCGATTTTCAACATTATAATTAACTGATTGTCAATCTAGATATATTCTTCAAAATCAGTCCCTTTCTAATTTTACTAACTCCAACTTAATTATTAACTTATGTAATTTCTGTTACATTTACATGAAAATTGTTCAAACATAGGTTTAGAGACTCTTTATTAATAAATTTCATAATTTGAATATCAACTCATAAGATATCCCATCGACCTATCTTTTGGCTATTTTTATATTCTCCAATTTAAATTATGTTCCTGAAATTCAAAAATTAATTTTAATACCCTTCACTTTTAAAAATCTCAAAACCTTTCTCATCATAATTTGTAGAACCACTAAAACATGATTTATTATTTAGTACTATAATTTGTCTCTTTGATAAGATTTCCATAAATCAACTTTTTCCCTTCTTTATATTGACCATCTTAAATCACTTAAAAATGATCTTTAAATCCCCCGCTAATCTCAATCCATCTTCCAATCTTAAATTTTTCACACCCTTCATCATATGATCCTACACCACTATTATCAACTAAATTTTTGTTATGGATTTATTTTAGAATTTGAATATTTATATCTATTATAAGCACGCAATAAAATATTCATAAACTTAACGTCTATATTTTACATTAAAGTTTGCGTGGTGTAATTTTATTTTTTTTCATCTGATTTTGAAAGAAGAATTATATAATGAAAAAAAACAGCAGTAGTTACCATAATTATAATATTTAGATGTAAAATGAGTCTTTACACTTTCATAGTTTATAAAATAAGTAATTTATTCTTTAGCTTAAATAATTTCATCAGCTTTAAAGGGTTACCTTTATTTATATTATTTTTATCCTCTACTTTAAATTTGAGTTGAATATTATCAAATCATCCTCTTAGTAGCCAAATTGCAACTTCTCACTATAATGAATTTTGAACTACAAAAGGGTTAAGGATGATAACACTAATTAATATACGAATATTGGTTATAATATTATTAAAAAAACTAGTATTTTTACTGTTATTAAAACCCAGGGAGGCATTTCATTCACTGAAACCTTTTGTGAAGAGGCATTACCTTAGAGATGCCTAATTTTTTCGAATTAATTGATATTGTCTACTTTTAAATAATATGCTTTCAGCATTACTCAACTTTTCTATTTTAATCAATATCATTAAAGCTTTTAACACATGTTCAGAAATTTTCTTAAAATTTTAAATATTGTTACTTCCGAGAGCGTTAATCAAGTAATTTATATTGTTCTCTAATTTAATTCATCATTCCCTGTTATCCAAAAAACTGATGCAAAATGTTAAAAAGATTTAGAAGATTCCATTAGCCATTTTAGTATGTAAATTCTTTCCATTAAGACCTAAATTAATCTGGTATCTTACAATATTATACAGATTCTCATAAACGTAAACATTTGTTTTTGAGTTTAACAACTATATTACTTTCACATCTCCTATGGAACTAAAAGCAATGCAAAATAAATATTAAAATTATTTCACATCTAATTTATTTTTATCCTAGATTAGTAAATATTCCTTGATGCGGGAAACTTATTTTATAATTATAATAAATAATTTTCTAATTGTATTCTTGATATGATGAGTAATTAGACGACAATGTGTACTGTCCTGCTTACATCATGGCTTTCCAGATTAAAGACATATATAAACAGTCATATCCTTCAACTGTGAATAGAAAGCTTGAAAAAAATTTCATGAAGTCTGCAAAAAGGGGATTTCAATTTTGTTTTCTACCTAAAAGTCACTCTCAAATTCCTCATTTATATCAATCCACTCCCCAAACTTAATTCCATCACCTTCTTCCTGATATAATCCACCACCACTAATTTTCGAAGAATTTGACGTTACATTAATATTCCATCATACTTAATTTCCCATTTACCATATTTTATATTTTTTTCAATTTATCCAGATAAGTGATATTTTCATTCCATTTTATTATTTAATTAAATAATTCAGGTTTATAAATATATTTTAAGTTTGATCTATTCTCATCTATTTGTAAGTTTCTAAATTATATTAGTCCATACCCTTAAATGTAGTTGTAGATTGATGCTTTACCTGTTACCTAAAATAATACAATAGCTTGAACTAAATATTAGAAAGATAGTATTTTCAGTTAATGTAAGTGAAATAAAAAGAAGATTCATTGAATTAAGGTGAATTTCTCTTTTTTACTTTACCTTTCAATAAGAAAAAATGATATATGGTTAAACAATTTATAAGGTCTTTATGGCCAAAATTTTAAATAGATTAGGTACTATTGAGTCTAATATAATTCTAAACGCAAATGAACAATTAAGCTCATCAATTTTTATATTCCTTCTCAATACTGTCTATTTAGATTAATAAAAACACTAAAAGAATGACTTAAATATCGATGTTATAAATTATTAAGAATGGCATTTGGAAATCTGAAAACTCAGAATTTGTTTTTCTTAAAGATATATCTAAAATTTTACCCTTTTGTTTGTAAAATTACATATGACTACTTGCTCGAAAAAGAATCGAAATCAACACCCTTTTCATTTTTTAATGTTTTTAGAAGATAAAAAGATAAATGAAAAAATGTAAGGAACTAAAAGACGAGCCGCATATGAATATTAGAGGAAGTTACGTTTAGAAATTAACATTTGAGTTAAGTTATGGATCTACTTATTAGAAACCTAATAAAAATGTTTTCCAATAATGGATAGCGTTAAGATGTTAACAAGAAGGCAGTCTTTAATGATCCTAAAACTGAATTAGGAGTAAAATATCAATGCTATAAAATTTCAAATAGTTCATAAATTGTTAAAATAATTGGAAAATTATGATTATAAAATCTAATTTGTGACTTAAGTTAGAGAAATAAAATTGAATCTTCAAATTATCAAGAACAAGTGCTTATTTCACCAACAGCAATATTTGTGAAAATAGAATATTGATAAATATATGATTTAGGTTGCTAAATATGATGATAAAAATGAGTGTTTATCTAATTGATAAACAAGTAAAAAGAAAATATTTATAATGAAATGATCATTCTTAATAAAGATTGATGGTGCTGATTTTGAAAATGATGTGAAATTAAGAATCGAAAAATAAAGTAGGTTTGAACCTAACATACATGTAGTAAAAACGAAAATAGTATTTTTATCACAAAAGTATTGATTTATCTCTTTAAATTTTTAAAGTAATAAAGTACTTTCATATTAATTTAACAATAATTTGAATAGGAAATAATTTTTCTAATTCAATTATTATCATATTTACTGCTTTTTGGAAGGATAAATTAAAGAAAGCAAGGAAAATATTTAGCCTTATATATGATTTACTAAGTCTTATTTTGCGTGAAAATAATTTCAACAATAACAATACTAATGGTCTAAAACAATTACTTTCTTCATTTTTCCATCTTCTCTTTTTCATTAATAAACTTTGTTTCATATTAATAAGTACGTATATGTTAATTATCTTGTTAAGCAATTTATTACAATTAAAAGTATTAAACTGAATTTACGAAACCAAATATAACATATAATACTTTGTCTGATAGTTTGCTAGCTTCCAAGAATTTGTAAAAATTATGGATTTTTTAAATAAAGATATAATTGGCGCTAAAATTATATCACATTGTAAAATGAATCTATGTAGTATTTATGTATTTATAAATTATTTATAGAATGGAAAAATTTTTGATATTTCTAGGGTGTCTTTTTTATTAAATAGAATCAATAACGACAAAATGTGAAGAGATTAATTAGCAACCTTGGATCAATTGTTATTAATACATTTAAAATTGTTTGAGTTTACAAGGAGATGAAGAAGATTATTCAATGGTTCAAAATATTGATCATGATGTTCTGCAAAAGTCCTTCTTAATTCCTTACAAAAAAGAACCTATTTTAACAAGAATTATAAATAATTTGGATAACTAGAAAATACAAGAAAAGTTCATTTGTTCATTATTTCTTGATTATGAATATTATATCTCTTGTATCAACTTTGACTTAGTTTTTTATGAGGAATTAGATAATTACAGAGAAGAACGGAAATTTCAAACTAAAATTTCATCTCAAGAAAATTGTTTTGAAATGTTTGAATCTAACAATGGAAGTTTTAGAATATTTTGTCTTGGTTCATTTACTCTAAAATAATATTAAGTAAATTTATAAGGGATTACAACTATAATTTAGGAACATGATGCTTCAGATCAAATATCAGATTTTTGTAAAATAAAATAAAAGGCATGGAATGAAAATTATTTAATTTTAGTTTTTTATCGGTGTTCTAAATGGAAAGTCTTGATGATTCGAAACTAAGATGTTAAAATCATATTAGCTGCTTAAATGGAAAACAAGGAAACCTAACTTTAAAGTTACTCCTTTATTTAAGACGTTTCTTTTTGTGAATTTCACGAAGTTTATTAGATTTTTTATTTAGTAGAAAATTTTGGGTATTTAAAGTGTCAAATTTATGGTAATTAAAGCACCTTAGAATTTTTCTCATTTAAAAATCTTAAGCGATTATAACAAGTATTACTTTAAAAGAGATGTTAAAATATGATTTTCATCGATTAATTAGAAGATAATAGAACAAGAATATTTGGGTCTTAAAGTTTTGTTGGTATTACTTTAGACTAAAAATTTGATATTGACAATATTCACTATAAATCCGATCTTATCTTCTTACAGAACTAATTTGAATTAAAAATTTTAATTGATACTTAGATAAACCAAACATATCAGATTTCCAACACATCTTTACATTTCTTTTAATTTAATAACTTCTTCTGCTAATTTGATATAGATATTCAAGGTTTATAATTTTACAAAATTAACCCAATAAGTCCGTTCATCAAGCCCAAAAAGTAGTATATATTTTTTATTTTAAAGGATGATTTATTTAGACAAAGAGCTTTAATAAAGTGTTATAAAATGATAAATTAAACAATTGCTTTGAACTAAAATTAACATTTAGTTTATAAGCTTATATTGCGAAATGCTTGTTCAAATAATTTATAAACAAGCTTGTCTACAAAGAGTTTCAAAGTTATCTAAGATCTTTCATTTAATTTAAATAGTAATGAAGGTAGTATTAAAGTGAGTATCAAAAATAATCAAGAAATTTAAGAATCTTGTTTTTAGAGGCTTTATTAAGTTTACTTACAAGGAGACATTGAGTTTATTTCAATGAAGTTGCCTCGCTATATAAGTTGTTAAAACAAAACAAAAATGATTATTTATGATTGTTAATATAATCAACTGATTATTTAACTAAACAGAGATGAATTTGATGTACTAGAATCGAATGAAAACATTTATATCTTTAACAAAACTTAAAATCATTTGCTAAGAGTAATAAAATTTCATAATAATTCTATAAAACAATTTAATTTGAAGTTTGATGATGTAATAATAGAGGCTTAGAAAATTGCTTAAAACATTTTTATTTATTTAAAAAATTCTGATTTGCCTCTTTTGATATTACAGAATTTTGAAATTAATGGACACAACTAGTATCTCATAAAATCTCTTTATTAGAATGAATCTATTTTTTTTTATACTGAAACGAATTTATATAAAGTTATTCAATATCCAAATCTTTTGGTTATTGAAAATTAAGGAAGCATAAAATGCTTTAAATATTTGGAAGGAGAAATTATTTTTATTTCATAATTGCCAAATGTTAAAGATTGCTTGTTGTTCTTGACAGTCTAGTATCACAGCAGATCTTTAATCCTATCTTAGTTTAATGATTTTGAAATACACCATTTATCAAATTACAGTTTGTTGGACTATTAATTTTCAAATCCACTTAGGTACGAAAGTAAATTACAAAGGCTAGCTATTTTAATTAAATAAAATAATTCGCTATTTATAGCTATTCTAGAATTTGATTACACTTCATTAAACATGCGTGAGATTATTTCAACTGATAATCCATTTTTTAAATTGACTTCTTCTAATCTATTGTATTCCAGCAATAAAAAATGGAGATATTTATACTTTGAGCTTATTTTTGTCGATGTGTCAACATAAACACCTTTCTAAGATAAGTTATCATCAAACTATTAGATGTACTTAAATCCAATGTAGGGAGAAGATGGAGGAATTGAAGTAGCTCTTAGTATTCAAAATGCTTGCTATGAGTTATAATCTCTTTAGAATTTATCGATTATTTAAATTTAAAAGTATCAAATTATTAGTTTAAATATTTCTGATTTTTTCAAAGGACCTATCAGTAGTTTGGAACTTTTCAACAATTCAAACATTAAATTGAATGGACCTTTTCAATACACAAAGAAACTCAAAGAATGTAATCAAATGTTCAAATTCTGCATTAAAAAATATCACTTTTAATTTTTGCAATATCTTTCTTAATTTAAAATTGCCTTTTTGGAGAATGAAAAGTTCGGAATTAGTGATTCATTTTTAAATAACGAAATAATAAGGATATTTTGGATAAGAGATAACTATTTTCTTAGTATTGCTCATTTAGGAAACAAACTCTATATTTCGCTTATTTAATGTTCTGAAAAGGAGGATGAAATTTGTAAATTAACAACAAATGTAAATGAGACTTTACAAATAACACAAGTTGAATAATTAAATATTATGAGAACTGGAAATTTAATTCAACTCTATGCTTACACTTTTTTATACATTTAGGATATCAATTTTGCAATGGTGGAAATTGAATAAATGAATTTCGATTTTTCATATATTGAACAATCATAAGATTATTATATATTTTTTGCGAGGAGTAAAATAAACTAAAATGATTTAGAAATTAAAATTTACTAAATCTAATTAAATCAGAAAATTCTAATCTATTCGTCGATTGTTGCAACTGAATTTGAAACTGAATTTACTACTAAAACAGAAAATGCCTATAATTATGAATCTAAAATTAAATTAGGCCCAAGTAAATAGATTGGAGATGAAATTATTGTTAAATTTTTAGTTTTTAATAAAAACGAAAATTTATCCTATTTATTTTTGTTAGAAATACAATTAAAATAGAAAATAGTGCAATTCTAGTTTTAAAATTATATAAGAAATTTTATCCCAACTGTCCCTCTTTAGTCGAACTTCATTGTTGACTATTTGGATGATGATATTTTAATACTAAAATAAGATTTAGGTGAATAAATTAAGATCTATGATCTCAGACATCAGAGAGAATTTTATGATTATTTTCATTAATCAAATAATACAATATAAATCCAAAGAATTAATACTACACATTACATTTTCGACACTCACGATGGGATATCCTTAGGAACTATTGGATACGAAATTCAAATTGAATATTGGGGTGAAAGTATATACTATTTTGACATATTTGCTTAAAATGAAATATCAAAAAATAAAGTTTCCTTTTAGATACATATGCAATAAAATCAAAATTATTAAGTAAATATTATGTTAATTTAATTAATATGTCTTTTTTTCCTAATGTTTTATCTTAAAAATAAGAGAAGCAGGACTAGAAAATGAAATAACTACATGTTTTACATATTAAATGTCACAATAATAAATTTGTAATTTATACTAAGCAAGAAATATAATCAGTATGAATTCAACATTTTATACTTTTTTACTAATATCATTCCTTGTCTATGTTTTGTTCTGTCTTTCTCTCTGCAATATATAAAATGGTATATTTATGAATTTATTTAGTATGCTTCTGATATATTATTTATTTTACAATATTTCTGTGTTTTTGAACAAATGATTGAAAACTTTTAAAACTATAATTCGTTCTTGAAAAATTTCTAACTTCTTCATTCATCCAAGAATTTTCATTCACTTTTTTCTTAGAGCACCTCTTCTTTATTAAGAGTTACTGTACAAATTTCAGCCAAATTTATGAAAAGAATGTTTATTTATGCCTTTAGCTTTATTAATTTAAGGGTTGACATATAATTGAATTTTCCTCTATCTTTCTCCTTTCTCTTCTTCAAAGTCATAAACATTACTTTACATATTTGACATTTGTATAGACAAAGTATAATCCCCTAAATAAAATAATGAATGCTATTTTTAAAAAAGATGATTCATTTATCGACTAAACAGATTTCTTCTAGTTTTTTATGGAAGTACCTAAAAATTCTAGAAGTCATAAATATAGGCTAAAGATCAATAATTTTTATGTTTATTCATGTATACAATTCTAATTTTAATTTAAAGATATACGGTATATTGAAAGTTAAAACGCGCAATTTTTATTACTTGGCATATTCAATGTACTGAAACATCTATAATTTTGATTTGGGTCAAATCATTTCGAGGGTTACTAATTATTAAATTTTAATATAAGCTCTTTCGGTAAAGAAATAAAAAAAAATTCAAGATTATAGTAATTTTTATTTTTCTTAAATCTTATAAAAACATATTGATTATTTATGATCAAATAAGCAACATAGTTTAATTAATGAATAATAACAAATTATCATAATTGAATATTTTAAATAGTTATTAAAAAATATTGATTATTTCTAATAGGATAAACAACATACTTAATAGTGAATTATAACAAATTTCATATTTGATTATTGTATAATGGTTTTAAAACATACTAATAATTATAAATAAATGAACAACATAGTTTCAATATTGAAAAATAATAAATTATCATATTTGAATATTTTATATTATTTTTAAATCATATTGAATATTCAATAAACAACATAGTTTAAAATAATGAATTATCATATTTGATAATTATTAATTTTTAGTCAATGTTTTCATATTTATAATTTAAAGTACAGATTAGTTTAAAATTTACTAGTAACACTAATAAATAGTTGATGGCTTCGGAAATACTTTTAATCCATTTTGTTTTAGTAGTGTTAACAACTTTCACAGATATAATTTATTATATTATTCGATTTAATTATTTATTCTAATTTGGTAATTAATTACATTTTCAACATATTTATTAAACAGAATAGTCCTCAATATTCCATAGTTTAAATAAAGGTGATATTTAAAAATTTATTTATTGATTTAATCTTATTATCACAATCCATAATCCTTATCATATAGGTTCTGTTTTTTGTCAAATACTTTTTCTAATTTCGTTTTTAGGATTAGTCACGCTTTTGAATAACTAATCTCTTTCCATTGCTTTTTTTAGCACTATAAAGGGAATTTTCATTTTATATATTAAACAAGACACGTGAGAGCAGAGAGCCTTATGGAACTCCATTTGCAAACTGATATTTTTAATTTGTTAATGGGCTGATATAATATACCTTGCTTTTGCCTTTCAATTTAATATCCTTAGAATTTTATATCAAAATTCCAGTATTCTTATTGATTCTGTGGCAAGGCCATTCCAAAAAACAAAAAGATTTATTTAGTTGATAATACTTTAAATCAAATTTATATTCATCTCTAGTTTAATATTTCCTTAAACTAAAACATTACTATTATTTTTAGCTTGATTTTAATCAATTCTTTTATGATTTATTCTGTTTTTGGTCCAATTTTTCTCATAGTTTGGGTTTTGTGTTATTTTTTCGTTATAGCCTTAAAAATCTAAGGGTTCTTTTTGAAACTAAAATATCAGATTCTCTAGTTTAATGCTACTTGTATTACCTAAACTTTATTTCAATTTTTTTGCGACACTAATAACCCTCTTTAATGTTTAAAAATTTCAATAAGCTCAATATTAAAAATTATTATTATTGAATAAAATGGAGCACTTTACAAGGATTATCTAATATATGGAAATATACTGAACTATGTGTTTTTAACTTGGATTCTAAGGGTGTAAAAATCTATGGGGAATTACTTTTCGAATTTTTTTGTACAAATTTGCTTCGATGAACTTTAGAGTTGTCTAAAATAAATATTACATTTCTTTCTAATAATGATGACTAATTTTACACTTACCCGTAGACTTTCCCTATTAATATTTAATAAGCTAAAAAAACATCTTAACTATTATTAAATGAAACTGCAAAATTCATTTATATTTTAATAATTTCTTTTATCTAATAAATTTCAAACACATTTCAATTTAATCTTGATTCTTTAGCTTTTGATTATCTACAATATTCTTGTTCTTTCTAAGTTATTATAATATATTCTCTTTATTAATCGTATTATTTATAAAATTAACCCATATATCATTTTTTCTAAAATCAAATTAATAGTTAATAAAATCTATGATTTCAACAAAATATTCTAAACTTTGAAACTATTTTTTATTATCACAAAATAGCATTTCATTTATTCATATTTTCTATTCTACAAGTACTTGACATATTTTTATTAAGTAATGTATTACCTTCTTACGTTGGTCCTTCTATGCTTTAAAAATTTAATAAAACAAGAAAAGGAATAAGTACTTCTACATTAGATCTCTCCTCCTTATTTACCTAAATTATTCTAATTGCGTATATGAAATAACATTTTTCTGAAGCAACACTCTCGCCTCTAATCTTGCCCAAACAATAACTTCTATTTAGTTAAAAACAAAATTTTTCTATGTTGTAATTGTGAAGATCAAAATTGATTTATTGGTTTCTAAATGATGTTGGAGGTTGAATTTTACCACAAAAATAATATGTACTCTACACTGATTGAGTTTGAAATTAAATATTCTTATTGGCGTTTGCTTTTTAAATGGTTTTAAGATAATAATAAAAGCAAAGAAATTCATTAATACAAAAAGAAAATGTCAAATTAAACTTTTCGAAATATTTTACCTAAAAAGCACTATTCTCTCATTTTTTCGTTTCAGGAAAGTTATTAAGAGTTAATGGAATAGTACTTTCCAAATAAAACAATTTCAGGTCAGGTAGAAATATTATTGAAGAAAGATTTAATTATGCAATGCTTTTATTACCCAAATTGATAAAAAAGCCACTTATATTCTACATTGATGAAGCAAACTTGGACATACTATAAAAGGTACAAAATTTTGGTAGTGACAAAATTCTTCTAAAATATTCGATTATTACTAACCTACATCTACAATTGGAATATTAGGAGCTATGATAAAAAAAAATTTTAATTTTCAATTTTTTGATTTTACTTTCAAATAAATCATTTTGTAACTCAATTCCTTTTTATATATCGTTAAATCAACTATCTTTAAATTATTTCTTTGCTTTCTTTTTTGATTTAATCTACAATTTTATGACCTAGTTTTTATTAATATTTTCATTACATCTTAATAATCATTTTCCCAAATCCCCAAAATAGGAAATACATTTGTACATAAACTATTCGACATTAATCAAATATTTTTTCCGTAATGATTAAAATGAATTAATTCAATTGGAATCAATTTTAGTCATCTAATTTCCTAATCAATTGGATCGTCATAAAGATTATTATTCTTATCACATATTTTATTTTTATAAATCATAATTCCTATTTTTCTAAAAATTTTTTTACTATTGGATATACAGAATCGCATAGCTTAAAAGATGGCTATACTTAATTTCTTTTAATGCCGCAATGAATTTAATAGTTGAGTTTAAGGTTGTTCTACAATCTTATTTAGCTAAGTGAGTTTTCCATTCTCTCCAAACATTCTCAATTGGATTTAATTAAGGACTATATGGAGGTAAATAGATGTGAGTTACATATTTTAGGACTTCTTCTAAATTGAGAATTCCTTATGAATTGATGCATTATCTAAGATTAACATATAATTCCTTAAACCCATACTGTTTATTACATTATGAAATTAATCTTATCAAAAAATTCTTAATTAATTTTGATTTAACATTGCCTCTAACCCATTAAAACATTAAAAGATCATTCCCGATTACACCAATATTATTAATTCTTTGTTTAACTTAAGCCTTGTCAAATTTAAATGTTTATATTTTTTGCTCCATTCTTTTAATTTTTAATGCTCATTCCCGATTCCTGATTCCTGATTCATCTATATAAATTGGTTATTCTAGACTACGGTATGTGATATAAAAATGATAATGCATAGAGGTATTGCTTACTTTATTCTCCTTTGTAGTGGCTTTAAAGTTGATCTTAGATGTATTCTTTTATGTATATCCAAACCCTTTAATTAATTTCTAAAGCCTATAAGAGACACATGTCAGTTTGTAATCTAAACGTTTAAAGAAAATCATAATATATAGTTTTTAAGAACAAAGTTCTCTTGATTTTAGTAATTCATATATTCATTCAACCAAGTTAATAAGTAATCTTAAAAGGAATAATCGTTTATCTATAAACCATCTTAAATCTGCTGCAATTTTTTTTTTGACATTCCATGAATGATTAAATAGATATAGGTATATGTTGTCTATGCATATTTTGTATTATTTATTTTTATTTCAATGCATCCTAACTGGTTTTTGAAAAAACAGAGTATTTGTTGTTGAACTTGAATTTTGTATTTTTTATCTTAACAACTTTCTTATCTTTAATTTAATCCATGATTATTAATTAAAGGTCATGACAGATCGAGTCTTTAGAATTAAGCAATTAGAGGTTAAAATAGGATAGCATTT